TTTAAAAAGATTAAGACATCATCTGCTCGATTGGTTCTTAGGTTTGGTATAATTCTGACAAAAGACATCCTCTCATAGTCTAGTCAAAGTCAAATTCCTAAAGTTTGGTGTAAGGCCCCCTTAAATGGATTAAGATATCACCTCCTCGGTTTAGTATTCAGATTTGGTATAAGTTCAAGAAAACACATCTTCTGCTAGTCCAAATCAAATTCACATTCTTAAATTATACAAAATCAATATCTCAAAAAATTGAAAATTCAAAACATTTCATATTTAAATCTCCAAATCTCAATCCTATGAGATTCTCAACTCCTCAAATACAAATTTAAATTTCAATCTTAAAATAAAATTCAAATATCAACCAATCTAATTCATTCAAAGTTTTTAATCTATCTCAAGTTTTAATATTTGAACTTTTCTGATTCTCATTGGCTGGTTCGGTCAACATGAATACATGTGAAGCTTTCCTAAGTCCTTCACCTAAAATTCTTTACCCAAACTTTCCTTCACCTGAGCATCTCTCCTTCATCATCCCCAGTGTAAATCATATCATCTACACACACGACAAGAATAGTACTGTGACCACTGTGTCGTCAAAAAAATACTATGTGGTCGACATTGATCTGCTAATAGCCCATGCATATCTTTTCTTTCCTAAACCTGCCAAACCAACCCCGAGGAGATTGTTTCAAACTATAAAGTGATTTTCTCAATATAAATGTCTTGCCCACTGTTTAGTTCTTGTCAAAGCCTGTGAGTATCTTCATATACACCTCTAGCAAATTCTCATAAAAAAAACACATTCTTCATATCTAGTTGGTGTAACCTCCATCTACCATTCACAACCAAAGAGACAAGTGTCATAACTGTGCTCATGTTTGTCACTAGTGCAATCACAGTCAATGTTATAATTTTGACTATATCTTTTCGCCACCGGCCATGTTTTGTAGCAATCAATATTTTCTTCTGAGGTCTGCTTCACTGAGAAGACCTATTTGCACTCGACTGCATTTTTCCCAATTGGTAGCAACACGAGCTCTCATGTCTTGTTCTTATCGAGAGCACTAAGTTCTTCCAACATTGTAATCTTACATTTTGGATCCTCCTTAGCTACCTATCAACACTTGAATATGGAGATAATGATCTAAGCTGCAATAAATACTCCATGTAAACATGATATGTTAGAGTATAAGACAAATTGTGCAATATCATGTAAGGAACAAAAATAATCAGGAGAATAATGATCAGGAGGATGACCCGTATTGTTGCGAGAGGTCCTCCTTAAAGTCATGGGAGTGGGAGAAGAAGAGAGGAAACATACCACCTGTGTAATCAAATTCCAATGTGGATGATGTAGGAGTCATGAGTCAGGGTAGACCGTGACAAGAGACTTGTTGACACGTGTGGCATGATAGAAATTGTTATTTCATTTTGTCATTTTCTCCTTGTATACACCCTCAGCTCCACTTGAACTTAAGTCCCACCACATACAGGCTCATTTTCCTTATTTTTCGGCTCCCCTCAATCGATCCATCCCACACAATGAGACAAGACATCATTCCCACTTGTATCAATCTCTTACCATCACTACTTCCCCCGCGCCTTACACATCTGACATCTAACGAGTCATTAAAGGGTGTCGTCACCTCCAATGTGTAGTATGATTTGAATTTTTAAATGTCACGTCCATACTTACAGACTATCTCTTCTCTATTGAGCTTCAACAAACATTCCCCTTCTAAGTGACAGAATAACCCAAGAAAATACAATTCATAACTATGAGATTCAGCTTCCCTATTGTGCTTGATTATCCTTCACATAATATACACAATCAAATATCTTTAATTAGAGGAGCTCACCATTATCTTATTTCAACAATTCACAAGGAAATCGCTACTCTAGTACTCTTAAGGGTATTCTGTTGATCGACTGAGCAATTGTCAAAACAACATACCCCCACAATTACTTTGGGACATTCATCGAGATCAACAAACTTCTGGCCATCTCTAGAAGATGACTATTCTTCCTCTATGTTATTTCGTTTTATTATGGTATGTATGGATTGGTGGTTTGATATATCCCTTAGGCTGACAAATACTTCTCAAGCATATTATTGATATACAATGCCCCGTTATCAGATCTCAATACCTTCACTACTGCACCTTATTGAGTCTAAATTGCCCAGTAAAAGTCTTTACAGCAGGCAATCACATCATTTTTGTTTCTCATCAGATATAACCAAGTAACATGAGAAAATAATCAATAAATTTCATAAAATATATGTAGTCATTCATCGAAGTTGTAGAACAAGGTTATCATACATCTGAGTGCACTAAATCAAAAACAAAAAAACTCCTATGCTTACCAAACTCACAGGCATCACACAAGTTTTTATTTATTTGCTTTTTCGTACAGAGACAAATACAAACGGCTTAACAAACTAATAGAAAAGTGTCACATGCATTTGTGATCTAGCAGCAACTCATCCTCCACACTTCTCCCAAATCCTCCAACTACATCACGCTCTACCATGGATGTCAAGGGCTCCATCCCTTCTCTATCAAAGTATCAGAGTCTATTATGTCATGTGTCAGCACCCCTTTATCGATAAAGACAACACTTCTCTCTCCCTTATTCTTCTATACCATCATATTCGTCCGGTCACCCCCTCTTCCACCCCTTTGGCCCCCACGATTACGACTACGGCCTCTAGACTGTCCACATTCACCCGTCTCACTTTCCTTATGTGGCTTTAGACAAGCTTCGCTCAGGTGTATCACTTTTCCGTAGTTGTAGCACCTGCAGGTCTCACCCTGGACATCTGTCGTACATGAGCTCGAGGCAGGTAAAGCAGATCGTGTACTTAAAAGTCCACTCAGAGTATAGCCTCATGCGGCTCTCCTCCTGCAACATCTTGGCGATGGCCTAATCCAGTGAAAGAATCTTTGTTTGGGCTAAGACGACCAATCTCGTATAATCAAATATCGGATTCAAATGAGGCAGAAGTTGCATAGTCCTCCTACGTGCAAAGATCTCCACCTTATGTGTAGTCCTCCTCCATGCAGACTACCGCCAAACGGAACATTACATTGCATCCTCGTTGGACAAAGGAATCTCATTTCCTCCATTGGTGACCTAACCCCACTTCCCCGCTAATTTACTTCTACTGACACACCTCCAGCATTCAAGCAGAATCCCACAGCTCCAATCAGCAAAAGCAATCATAAATCGAGATTAAAAGCATTCAAACAAACAATAAGAGAACTTTGTGGCTTCAAACGCCGAATTAAACAAAGAAACATGAAATGCCTATTGAATCTAAGAAGATGGATCTTAAAATGTACTAAATCGAATAGCCACGAGTGTTATTGCGAAGAAATTTTAAGCAGAATTTGAAAAAAAAATATAAGGAACTGGAATTTAAATTACCTGTATATGAAAGATTGACAGGAGCAATGGGAAGCGGAGATCGGACTCGAGGAAATGAGTGCACGGTAGTACCCAGCGCTGATGTACCCAGCGCTGCGTACATCTTATGTACGCAAATATTTCACGCACGGTAGAGGGGGAGATGCAGGGAGATTTATGAGGCTGAAGGCTTTATATATATATATATATATATATATAAATATATTTAATATTTTTTCTTTAAGTTATATTATTTATAATCTTAACCAGCCTCATGTAAATAGTCGAAATTATTTTGATACTTTATTCAATTGATAAGACTCGATTAATGTTGATCGCCACTTCAGCTTAAAAAAAGTTTAATAAATATTGAAGTAGATTGTACTTCATTTTCTATTAAAATGGGTTGTACTTCATTTTTTATTAAAGTAGGTGGGTGATTTTGAATTACAACCAACTTCAATAGAAAATGAAGTACATCAATTCTAATAATAATGGAAAATGATTGTGGGCAATCGGGAAGTACAACTTCCTTCAATTCTAATAAAAGATTTTTTTCTAAAAATAAGATTACATTTTATTTTAAGTACTTCATTTTCTATTGAATTAGGTTGTACTTCATTTTCTATTGAAGTTGGTTGTACTTCACAATCGCCCATCTACTTCATTTATTAAAGTAGATGGGCGATTGTGAAATATAACCAACTTCAATAGAAAATGAAGTACAACCTACTTCAATAGAAAATGAAGTACTTCAATTTCAATAACAATAGAAAATGATTATGGGCGATTGGGAAGTACAACCTAATTCAATTTTAATAACATGTTTTTTTTAAAAAATAATATATTTTAAGTATATTTTTTTTCATTTTCTTAATTAAAATGAGCTTATGTGAATTAAGTTTTAAGTATTGATTAAACTTTTTTTAATCGAATCTTATCAATTGAGTAAAATATCAAAATAGTTTCTGACTATTTACATCATACTACTTAAGATAATAAATAACATAACTTAAGAAAAAATATTTAATTATATATATATATATATTAGAAATTCCAGGAGGGCAGTTGCCCACCCCTAACATAGTTTGATTTCGTCTTTGAATTAAGTGACAGAGCAAATAACATTTTGTGTTAAAAATGTAATAATTTTTTTCCAAACAATATTATGAGAAAATAACATTTATATTGGTGGTTAACTCTAATATGGGGGCATGACTCAATCGACCAAGTGAGCCTGATTAATTAATCAAGCTCAACCTCAAGCTCAAGCTTAAATCTATGAGTTTGAGCTGATTTGTCTATTGTAATAGAGGACAAATAATAATCATTTAAATCATTTTTATAATAAAATGATAAATGCAATGAACAAATAACACATAAGTAAAATTTTATTTGATATAAAATATAATTTTTTAAAATTATTTTTAATAATTTATAGATAAAATCTTGAGATTTAATATATTTTAAATATATTTTATATTAATAATTTTTAAATGGCGTTACGTAGGAGCCAACAAGTCAAGCCAGGCCTGACTTGAGTTTAGCTGGTTAACTCATTATGCGCAACTCGTGAGCTATTTATCCTGCCAAACCCAAATCTCGTGAGCTATTTATCCTGCCAAACCTACATCTCCGCCTCTACCGTGCACTCATTTTCTCAAATCCGATCCCCGCTTCCCACCGCTCCTCTCAATCTTTCATATACAGGTAATCTAAATTCCAGTTCCTTTTTGTTTTTTTTTCAATTTCTGCTTAAAATTTATTCGCAATAACACTCGCGGTTGTTCGATTCTCTACATTTTCAGATCCATCTTCTTAGATTCAATGGGCATTTCACGATTCTTAGTTTAATTTGGGATTCGAAGCCACAAAGTTCTCTTATTTTTTGTTTGAATGCTTTTAATCTCGATCTATGATTGTTTTTGCTGATTGGAACTGTGTGATTCTGTTTGAATGCCGGAGGTGTGTCGGTAGAGGAAATTGGCGGCAAAGTGGGGTTAGGTCACCAATGGAGCAGATGAGATTACTTTTTCCAGCGAGGATGTAATCTAATGTTCCGTTTGGTGGTAGTCTGCGTGAGTTTTTTTTATTTAATATGCATATTAATTAACTAGTAAGCCGTAGATCTAACGATTAGCCTTTATTGATTTATTTATTTGATATGAAACCTTGGTAGTTATTTGATTCTTGTAGAGGATTAGGTGGATCCTTGGGCTTTTCTCTTCACTTCATCTCTTAAAAACTTCTTTCTGAGTCATCATTACTTTGTAGCGGAAGCATTATACATCTATTACAAATGTTTAAGAAAATTCAAGATGGTTATTAGAGTGGGAACTTTAATGTAGTTGGCAAAAACGTCCGGGCATGTACATGTGGAGCACCTCAAGATTCTTTAAAATTTAAATTATTTTTTTTGACCATTTGGTAGGATTTACTCTGAAGTCTACCTGCATAAATGTTCCTACCAAACAGGCCCTAAGATTCTAGAAGGATTTTGTTGCATTTGAATAATTTATTATACTCTCGATGATTTTTTTGTATTATTATATCTATTACATTTATTTTAACTTACAAGAGGGATCTCTCTATTCCGAGCGTATTCTTTTCCTTCCGAGTATGTCACCGTTCATGAGGCAGCCTTTAAAATTGGCATATGCTTTCCACCGGCACCTGAGATTATTGAAATTGTGAAAGTGTTTGGAGTTTGTGTTGCTCAGCTGTCTTGCCACGTGGTGACAATTCATACGGGTTGATTGCTTTCTTCAAGAGTCGCGGGTTGACATTAACACCAACAATTTTAGAGCGGTTGTGCGGGTTCCTTAGTTACACAAATGATATTGTGATGTTTAAGCACAGGGCGTTAAATTTTGATAGAGAATGACTTATTTTTTTTTCAAAAAAAGTTTTACTTCTCGAATGATATGGTGGTGAAATTTTTGATTTCGATCAATCGAGCGTATTCTTCTCCTTCCGAGTATGTCGCCGTCCATGAGGCAGCTTTTAAAATTGGCATACGATTTCCACTGACACTTGAGATTATTCAAATTGTGAAAGCGTTCGGAGTTTGTGTTGCTCAATTTTCTTGTCGGGTGGTGACAATTCTTATCGGATTGATTGTTCTCTTCAAGAGTCGCGGGTTGACATTAGCACCAATAAATTTAGCGCGGTTGTGCAGGTTCTTTAGTTACACACATGATAGTGTGATGTTTAAGCACAAGACATTAATTTTCCCTAAAGGAACCGATAAGACAATGGTCCGTGAGATTCTTCTTTACAAAGAACGATTGGGGGCTTCGTGAGAGGCGATCAAGGTTCCAACAAGTTGTTTATCTCTCTTTAGGCTACTGAAGATGAAATACTGCAGATACTAGGATTTCACAACTTTAAGGAGATGCTATTTGAGACATAATATATTTATCAATTTGTGGGCGATGAATCATTGTTGAATATCAAGCTTTCATTCCACTGCAAACAATTCATGACTATAGCATTACAAAAATCTAAGAAGAGAACTTCCGAGCCAGCACTCGTAGAATCCTTAAAGCAGATCTTAATGAATAGTGGCTATAAAGTATTGTCTCAGGAACATCAAAAGAAGGTTAAAGTATTGTGGGAGCCACTCCCTAGTCCTTTTGACTATTCATATTCCTGAGAATGTCTTGTCTTATGAATATACTAGGCTCTTGACTCTCATAGGCCGAGAGCTTTGTAAGTTTCATTTATATTCTGCTACTGTATAATCATTTTATTTATCTGACCCGAATTTCTTTTCTTCTTAGGTGGATAAAATGGTGGAAATTCAAAAGAAGCTAGAACTAATTTTGAGAAATTTGAACTCCGGATTTGTTAAGATAAAATATTTCCAAGGAGAGTATAAACGTCGATATGAGTCTGAGGTTGAAAGAGTCAGAACTCTAGAATCACAATTGACAGAGTGCAGGATAAAACTATTAACAATGGAGCCTTCCTCCCTCTTGTTGCAGCTTCAGGATCTGGAGAGAGCATGAGCTGACCTCAGTGAAAGAAATAGGAGCGTGAAGGCTCTTGCCCAAGAGGAAGAGATCCGAATTTCGAGGTCCGCGAAGGATGTTAATGTTGTAGAAGTTAAGCGCAAAACAATCGAGGACTTTAAGAACTCGCTTGAGTTTAAGACTATCATTTGAGACCATGTTTAAGGGGCTCGTGATCGAGTACTTGATGGAGCTGTAAAAATGGTTCAGCCAATCTTGATTTTAAGGATTTTTTATTTTTCTATTGAAAACTTACCCATTTCTTTTAATGTCTTGGGCATATATAGAGTCTTGCAATATTTACAAATTAATTCCTACACCTAGACTTCTCCTATATACAATATGACCTTACATTAGATACAAATCTCAACAACCTCCCCAAGATGGGCAAAAGATATTCATTAAACCCATCTTGTCACATAACCCAGACAAACCTAATAAGCTAAGTCCTTTGATGAGGCAGTCAGCCACCCAGTAGTCCATCGTTCATTTTTTCCTTCATGAAGAATATATCAATCTCCACATGTTTGGTTCTATCATGTTGCACTTGATTGTTGACGATGCTGATCGTTGACTTGTCGTACCACAACTTCATTTGAGCTTCTTGGTCCACCTTAAGCTCTACCAACATGGCTCTCAACCACATCATCTCAGCAACTCTTAAGGTCATGGCCCTATACTCAGCCTCTACTGATGATCTCGCTACTACTGATTATTTCTTGCTCTTCCAAGGGACCAATTCGCTCCCTACGAACATGTAGTATCCAGATGCGGATATCCTGTCATCCATATAACCCGCCCACTCAAAGTCACAATAGCCCTCAACGCTTACATGCCTATTCTTCATAATGATCAACCCCTTCCCTGATGCACTCTCCAAGGACCTCAGAATCTGATATATTGCATCTATGTGACACTTCCTCAAGTCATGCATGTAACGGCTCACCACATTTACTGCAAATGATATGTCGCGACGAGTGTGACACAAATAGATGAGAGGACCAACCAACCTATGGTACCTCACGCGATCAACTGGCTTTCCTACCTCTACGCTCAACTTTCCCTGATCAATTGGTGAAACTGCAAGCTTGCATCCCAACATGCATGCCTCTGTGAGCAAGTCTAGCACATATTTCCAAATTCGTCATAGTATTGAAGTTATTGAGATGCTCTGTCATTGAACTTTTTTCTATCTTCATGCTGAATAATTTCTTCATTAAAAAAAAAATATTATTGAAAGTAGAAGGTTTTTTGTACATCTTAGTCAATACCACCACGAGAATCACCGTAATTTTCTCATTCACAATGTTAAACGCAACAGATGAGGAAAGTGTTAATTTGATAAAACCCAGTGTCGTTCGATCCAATACTTCTCATTCCTTAATTAGCATAGACTCAGGCATATTTGTGATTCCTAATGGTGGCAAGTACTGATACAACAAATTTTTCACCTCCATCTTCCAGAAAGCAAAGTTTGTCCAATTGAACTTCTCTACCTTAAACCTTGCTTCTTCGACCATTGCTCCCGCTCGAATCAAACTCCTCTCTAATATTGGTTCTTGTTGGGAATCCTCCAAACAATTATCAAAGTCACAGCGGAATAAGATCACAGGATTTAAGAAAACCGAAATAATAAATTAAAACCAAAAGCACAATAAAAAAACAAACAAAAAAGAAAACGGGAATTTTACGTGGAGAAAACCCGACAATGAAAAAAAACAACAGAACCACACCACCACAAATTTCACCATGAATTTTAGAGAGTTTTACAAATGAATCACACAAGTTTCTTCTTCACACTCACACGAAGAAACTTACAATGCACCACTCCACACTCTTCCTATAAACACCAGAATCCTTCTCACTAACACTTCTCACATTCAACAAGATTTTGTTGGTGAACTAACAGGAAGAGTTACATTCGAGAAAGCAGAGTAACAACACTAGGCGCTTAAGAGCCTAGTTTTGGCGCCTAAGCGCCAATCTTTCAGGATAGCGCCCAACAAATCGGGAGCTTGAGCGCCTAAAGTCGGTAGTTAAGCATTGGCTCCTTTGTCTGTGCCAAAAATATGGGCGTTTGAGTGCCCAAAAGGGGGCCTCCATTATTATCTTGGGGTGCTTTGGCTCCAGATATAGAACAAATAGATGGAATTTAATTTTCGGTAATAGTTCATCTAGTGGCAGAGTTGTACTAGTCAATCAAATATTAAAATGAGTGAATTTGTTAGATATCTGAAGTCTATTGTTCACAATGATGGTGAAATAGATAAGAATGTTATTAGTAGAATTTAAGTTTGATGGTTTAAGTTGAGGAATGCATTAGACCTATTATGCGATAGTAATGTACCGTTTATACTTAAAAGAAATATTTTATAAGATGGTGGTGATACCTAGACTGCTTTATGACACAAAATATTGGCCTGTAAAAGAGAAGCATAAAATTAAAAGTTAAGTGTTATTGAGATGAGAATACTCAGGTGGATGAGTGGTTTTACACTAAGAGACAAAATGTGAAACGAATATATCAGTAAAAGGGTTGGAGTTGCTCCAGTGGCAGACAAGATTAGAGGGAATTGCCTTAGATAGTTTGGTCGCATAAAGGTCGACCATCTGATTATACTGTTAGGAAAGTAGATATTTTAAATTCGACTTATAATAAGAAAAGTAGAGGTAGATCTAAAAAGACTTGGGCATGCTGCATAAAAATGATCTTAATTTATTAGAATTAAATTAAAATATGACGCTCGATAGGGCACAATAGAGGAAAATGATTCAAGTAGCTAACCCCACTTAGTGGGATAAAGGCTTGTTGTTTTTATTATAGTAACAAAATTCAGCCTCCTTGACGAGAAGACATGAAACCATATATTAACTCCACACTTAAAAATCATTTAGCATGAATTAGTCACACATTTATATTGAAGCCTTGTTGCCTATTTATAGCATATGTGAAATATATTGGCCTTAATTGAAATAGCAAAGAATTGGATTTATTTGCATGCTAAATTTAGTGGCATTAGGTGAAATTAAGGTTTGGAGAGCCTACTGAATCATAACTTTCCTCTTTAAACTCATTTGCCCCTACTAACTAGTTATCACCATTATTCAGGATGCAAACATAATTTATGGTTGCCCCCTCCAGTCGGCTCTAAGGATATATTTAAACCAGAGAATGTTATAGATGGCTTTTAACTCAATCAATACCCGATGATTTCAACATCTAGAAGAATTATTCTATTAAAAATGCAGCATATAACAAATAAACTTAATAAATAAAGCAAACGACTTCATTCTTATAAATCTCTGATCCGTTCTTCTTTGATCTAGATTTTCTAAAATAACAGTTTGGAAATGCAAAAAATGCTTTGATACCGACATTTTTTGGAACAAACTCAACACCACAATATGTTTTATTATAATATCAACATGAAGAATAATGATGTGAAATATTTTGGAACCGATAGAAATTTTTCTGTAATAAAAAGGTTGTGCAGAACCTAGGTTCGTGAGCTTTCTCTTACATATAATATTTCTCATCTATGCATGGTTTAGATTTGCATTAAAGTATCAATTAAGAAACATGCAAGAATTCATGTAAGTTGAGGAAATGATCTACATGAAGAAAGTTACATTGCATTTGATACATATCTATAATCTAATTAGAGTTTCAATGCGAACTCTAATCCTTCTATCTTACTTGCAGAGAGAGAGAGAGAGAGAGAGAGAGAGAGAGAGAATAGGATTTTGGGGGTTGCACCTAAGATATTGAACCTCTTAGCCTGAAATTTTTGTTTAAGACATCAAGATTTTTGGCACATGCTTTGAATCATAATTTGTAGAGAAAATATAAGAGGGGGGTAGGTGTCTAACCGAGTCAAGTTGAAATGTGAGCCAAGTAATACTCTAGTCAGCTAAAAAAGTGGCACATAAACTTCACTCATTGAGCTAATGAACCAAGCTTAAGCTAATCCCAACACTAATCATTAGCGCATGAGATGATATGCTTAAAAATTTTAATATAAAATACATTCAAAATATATTATAATTTAAGAGTTTAAATGTAAAAAATTAAAAAATATTAAAAAGTACATCTCAATTTCTTATATCAAATGAATTTTTATTATTTTTCTCATAATTGTTCATTTTTTTGTCGCCTTATTACAAAACTTAATAGAATCAAAATCATTTTCTTCTTTATAGTAAATGAGCTAGCTCATGAGTTAGAATTAAGCATGAACTAAATAAATTTATCAACTTAAGCTCAAGCCGAAAGTGGTTCAAGCTCAGTTAGTCTCATTTACATCCTATAGTAAGGCATAGGGTATCCAAGTAAAGTCAAAACTAAAATGATGACAAGAATGGTTTATATGAATTGATAAAAGAGAAACTATTTTGCTGATTGAATTTCAAACCGGTGTATGAGTTATATTTATATACATTCATTTCTCTAATGAAGGAAGGAAGAAACCTACATCAAGACAAATCTAGTATAAAAGTGCAAAGTACATTACAGAAATATCAACTAAAATATAATAATTCCTAACAAAACATGATAAACCATATTAATCCTATTTTATTTTTCTTATGCCTGGACGAACAAGAGAGAGAAAATTAGAGAGGATGTTGTTGGGTGAAAACCAGAGTATGCTCCTAAACTTCTTTTCGACAGTCAGACCTCCCTTTTAGGAGATTCAATTTGAATTCTAGTTTATTTTTTATCTCCTATTTTGGTGAGAAAATTAGAATAAAATAATTATCTAGGTTTCATATCAAAAAAAAAAAAAAATCAATGAAGGCTAATTGTTAGATCTATGACTTACTAGTAAATCAGATTGATTAATAGACATGTTAAATAAAAAAAAATTCAGAGACTACCACCAAACAGAACAGTAGATTGAAGTAGATTGCACTGGAATTTATATTACTAGTATCTGAGAGATTGAGAGGAGCTGTAGGAAGTGGAGATCCGATTTGAGCAAATGGGTGCACGTTAGAGGCCGAGATGCAACGAAATTTATGAGGCGAAAGCTAATTAAAAATGAAAATAATAAACTTAAATATAATAATGATTAATTTCATTTAACTTTATTTATAGAAAAAAATTAATATTGGAATTGAAGTAGGTTATATTGAAGTAGATTGTACTTCATTTTCTATTGAAAATGGCTGTACTTCACAATCGACCACCTACTTCAATAGAAAATAAAGTGCAACCTAATTAAATAGAAAATTATGTACAACTAATATCAATAGAAAATGAATTACAATCAACTTTGATAGGAAATGAAGTACAACTTTATGTTTAGAAAATTTTTTTTTATTAGAATTGAAATAGGTTGTACTTCACAATCGTCCGCAATCATTTTCTATCGTTATTGGAATTGAAGTACTTTGTTTCCTATTGAATTTAATTGTCTTTCAACTTCTCTGGATGCTATAGTATTGAATTATTTCAAGAAATAATTGGATATTTGTAATTTCAATAATTTTATTAGATTATTTTATTAGTTATAATATAATTAGGTGTTGACTGTTGAGGTCAGAAATTCTATTTTTAATATTTAAATTTTAAAAAAAAAAGTCTATTTCAGTCTAAAAGTTTAATGTTGAAATTTCCTGCTTTTATTTCCAATGCTGGAATATTCCTTATGCAGTCTCAAAATTATGCGTGTTTGACTGTCCCATCAAGGAAGAAAGTACAGACAAACTCAATATTATCCTTGAATTATTAAAATTTTTTTTTTAAAATAATTTATATTTTATATGAAATAATTTCTTATAATTGATATCTTAATTGCTCGTTGCATTTACCATTTTATTATATAAAAAAAAAAATAATAAACTAATATTATTTGTCCTCTACTATATACAAGTCAGCTAAAACTCATGGACTTAAGCTTGAACGTGAGTTTAAACTTGATTAATTAATCAAGCTCAAACTCAATGTGCCAATGACTCGAGCTCAACTCAAATCATTTACACCCCTACATACATATTTATATATTTAACACCTAAACTTTATTTTCTACATTTATACACCCCAAAATTTTTTTTAAAATTCGATTCCAATTTAAAAAAAAATTGTGGACATTTTTAGCACTT